GTCTATATCTGTACAGTGGTCTATATTTGTACAGTGGTCTATAATATCTGTACAGTGGTCTATATTTACACAATGGTCTATATCTGTACAGTGGTATATATCTGTACAGTGGTCTATATCTGTACTATTGTTTATTTTTGTACATACATTATTTTGTACAGTGGTCTATAATATAAAATTTAAAAGTCATCAAACAAAATGCATATCAAATGATAGAGAAAAAACATAGATTTTTATGTAAATGATAAATTTTAGAAAAAAAAATCACTAATTATTTGTGCTCAAATCTTTATTCCACATTCATCTTTCTGTACAGGTATATATCTGTACAGATGCATCCTTCTGTACAGTGTTTTATCTGTACAGTCATTCTTCTGTACAATGTTATATATCTGTACAGTGCTCTATATCTGTACAGTGGTCTATCATCTGTACAGTGGTTTATATCTGTACAGTGGTTTATATCTGTACAATCATCCTTCTGTACAGTGATTTATATCTGTACAGTCATTCTTCTGTACAGTGGTCTATATCTGTACAGTCATCCTTTCTATATAGTAGTCTATAATATAAAGTTTTAAAAAATTATTAAACAAAATGCATATCAAATGATAGAGAAAAAAATATAGATTTTTATGTATTTGATAAATTTTAGAAACAAAAAATTCAATAACGAGCATCTTAATTATGAGACTTTAGGGGAATATGAGATAATAAAGAAAAGAAAAGAAATTAAAAAAAAAAAACATGACCCACGTTTCTCTTTCTCACAAATACAAAGCCCCTAGTAGTAATTTCCACTCTCTTACACTCTACCCCACTTTCTCTCCTATCTCACACAAATCCTATTACACAAACACTAATAATTGACTGTTTCTCTAATTATAAATAGTACTAGTACTACTTTCCCAATTATTACTCACAAACGTACTATATTGCCAACAAACCCTTAGTTTTATGGGGGCCTCCCAAATGATAAGCAATAAATATTCATGCAAAATGTGTATAAATACACACACAAATCGGCCACACCTCTTCGAACACTCATCATCACTTTGGTCGGCCGCTTTCTTCCTTCCTTCCTCCTCATATAATCTACACACATATAACATCCCTCTTAATTTCTCAGTGGATCCATTATATTGAGACATATATCATAAGAAAATGGTACCATACCAAGAACTCTCTCTTCAGAGAAGCTTCAGCTACAACTCGAGAAAGATCAATCCAGTGACTTCTCCGGCGCGTAGCTCACACGTCCGTTCTCCTTCTTCCTCCGCTTTAATCCCAACCATACCTGAGCATGAACTCTTCCTCGTTCCTTGCCGGAGATGCTCCTACGTCCCTCTTTCCTCCTCATCGTCGTCCTCTAACAATATCGGGAAACTCCACTTGAAGTTTTCTTTGCTCTTGCGTTCTTTCATCAACATCATTAATATCCCCGCTTGCAAAATGCTCTCTCTTCCCTCTCCGCCATCTTCTTCTTCCGGCGTCTCTAACCAACTGATCTCACTCGTCACCGGTGGATCCTCTTCTCTCGGGAGAAGAGTCACCGGGACCCTGTACGGACACAAAAGAGGCCACGTCACGTTTTCGGTCCAGTACAACCAGAGATCCGACCCGGTCTTGCTCCTCGACCTGGCCATGTCAACGGCAACTCTCGTCAAAGAGATGTCCTCGGGGCTCGTCAGGATCGCGTTGGAGTGCGAGAAGCGTCATCGATCAGGAACGAAGCTTTTCCAAGAGCCCAAATGGACGATGTACTGCAACGGGAGGAAGTGCGGCTACGCTGTGTCCCGTGGGGGCGCGTGTACTGACTCGGATTGGCGCGTGTTGAACACGGTCTCTAGGGTTACTGTTGGAGCCGGAGTTATTCCGACGCCGAAGACTATTGATGACGTGTCCGGTGTTGGTAGTGGAACGGAGCTTGGGGAGCTGTTGTATATGAGAGGAAGATTTGAACGAGTCGTTGGGAGCCGTGACTCGGAGGCGTTTTACATGATGAACCCGGACAAAAACGGAGGTCCAGAACTCAGTATTTTTCTTCTTAGAATATAATAAATTAAAGAAGACAATTTGACTTTGTTAAAATTTGAAAATGTCTTAAATGAAGTATTATTATATATATGTGATATGAATGCAATGTTGTGTCATGAAATATATGTAAGCGATATTGATATGAAAGAAAGAGAGGGTGGTGCTATATAGAGTATGATAATGTTTTGTTTTTTTCTAGTTGTTTATTGGATGTGTGGTGTTTTTGTTACTTTGTTATTGTTCAATAAGAAGAAAAGAAGGATTTGACTATTAGTTTGTGGTTGCTATATGCAAGGCATGAAGATCCCCACATGGTCCGTCATGATTAATGCCAATTTAAGATTCTCATTGTCTTTTATTATAATCTGTAGCTAGTATTTTATTTGAGCAATGCGAATTCGCTTTTACGTGTAAAGCAGCGAGCGGTTTAGTTTAGTTATATTATATAGAAAGCGGGATTGCTTTTGAGTTGTAACGTGTAAAACAATCAAATTCATAACCAAACACCTTCTTTTATTTATTCGAGATATAACATATTGTCATTTACACTGTTGGTACTAAAAAAAATTAAGGAATAAAATGTATATTAAACTATTAATATATAAAAGATATTTAAGTATAACCACCATTAAATTAGTTAATTAAGTATAACCACCCCAAGAATTTGCAGCTATTATCATTTATGAAATATGTAAGAATAAAAACCCGAAACTAATCTATATATATAATGAAAGAGTTTTTTCTCTTCTTAGGATGTCCACATCAGCATCCACATCATCATATTTTTTTTTTCATGTAAATTTCACATATCTTTTTATTACAACGAAACATTAAAAATAAAATTAATTCAAACACTCTTTATTATTATGTCTCATTAAAGAAAGAAAATAATTTATAAAAAAAATTTAAATATTTAAAAAAACATAAAAAGTAAATATATAACAAAAAAAAATAGAGATTGGATGAAAATAAACTTAGAGAATTATATCTTAACATATAATGAATAAATATATTTAAATGGTTTGAGATAGGAAAAAGAAACTTATTATATATTTTTATGGTACATTTTAATAATTACAAGTATTTAGTAGACCAAAGAAAATAAGAGTTAAACAAAATACCAAAATTAAAGGATTTTACTTAAAACAAAAAGTAATTTATTTCTGAAAAATACACTTCTAAAATTTGAGAATATATTTATTAATGTTAAATTATCAATTCATGATACCGATTAAAAATAAGAGGGATTAAGTACATATTATTATTTCTAACTATAATATAATATAAATAGTTAAATTAATAAATTTCTTTATAACAACTCATATTTTCTAAATTAAAAAGTGCTATTAGAGAATTATATCTTAACATATAATGAATAAATATATTCAAATGGTTTGAGATAGGAAAAAGAAACTTATTATATATTTTTATGGTACATTTTAATAATTACAAATATTTAGTAGACCAAAGAAAATAAGAGTTAAACAAAATACCAAAATTAAAGGATTTTAAGAGGGATTAAGTACATATCATTATTTCTAATCATAATATAATCTAAATAGTTAAATTAATAAATTTCTTTATAACAACTAATATTTTCTAAATTAAAAAGTGGTGGGTTTTTTAAAAACAAATGAATACCTAAAAAAAGGAAAAGTAAATATAAATCAGTGTTTAGGAAACTATCATCGATTGAAAAAAATTAAAGTGTTTTAAAATAAAACAAAAAACTATTCTAAATATCACAAATAAAAATAAAATAATCTAATCGAATAATAAATTGTATACTAATAATATTTGAGATTGCTATTTAGAAATTAGAATAGTAATGGCATATAAAAGAGTTTATTATTAGAAATAAGAATGATTTTTAAAAAAAAAATAAATAAAAGTAGTTCATAAGTTACATTATAACAAATATTTCTCCATATTTTCTGATGTTCACTTTAATAAAAAGATCATGTAGCTTATAAAAAATAACTGAGTATTAAAAGATATGAAAATATGATCTATCTCGAGAACTAATTCATAATCGAATATACTATATGTGAACCAATGTAAAGTGAAAAGAGAGTAGATGTCGGGAGATAACAGTGAATCATTGAAGATAACGAAATAAACAGTAGTGAAAAGTGAATTTTTTTTTATTACTTTGAAAAGATAATGCAAATGAGTAAAGTAAAATCTTTTTAAAATTCAAATAATTATATTTATACTTATAAGATTCGTATTAATAAATGTTTTAAATTAAAATCTTGCGCAACGCGCGGGTACATAATCTAGTATAAAGTATGGGGAAGAAATATAAGGAAATGGAAAATAGAGGGATGCATCGTGAAAAAAAGTGGGTGGGAAGAGCGGAAAACCCCCACAGGGATTGATTGGCTTTAAATTAGTGGACAAAGTCCAAAATCTCATCAAACAGCCGCAAAGCCAAAACTTCCCTTTTTACAAAAATTACCTTGCATTTTAGGATCACATTATTTTTGCATTCACGTTACTTTTATATAGATATAACCGGAGAATCGTCAACAGAAATCCAAACTAAATTCTAAAATCTGTAAAAACGAAAATATTATTTGCCATTTTAAATGTTTATTGATCAACTATATATGATTAGAATAGCAATGAAAAAACTGAAATCCTAATCTCCTAACTCCAAAATAAAATGTTAACCCAAAATAAATTGTTTCAATCAATGGACTACTATAAATTAGTTTTAGATATTCATTTTTTTTTTTAACTTGAAACCTTTTTCATGTACTGTTAAATTTGTGAGTTATCAGTCTTTTTTATTTTCTGTGAGAGCACCTCCAATGGGAGGTTCTCTTCTAAATTTAGATGAGTTCTCATCTGATTTTGGGAAAAAAATAATTCAGAACTGAATTAAGATGAGAGAATCGATTCTCTTGAGAGAAGTTTGAGAATTTGAGAGAATCGGACACGTGTCAGTGTTCTATTGGAGGGAGAGTTATAACAAAAGAAAAAAAAACACTCATTTTTTAGTTTGTGTCGCGACAAAAAAAACACTTTGTCTCTCGATTTGGCGATTGCGAAAAACTGATGAACACCTCAAAATCATCGCGATTTCGTGAGATTCCGATGATTCGACGCCGGAATCGTGGTTTGTTTCTTTTACCTGCCGCCGGAATCATCAGCTGGATTCACGGTAAAGACCATCGGCGAATGGAGTGAAAACAAATCGAAGATTGGCGATGGAGAAGAAGGATTCGTTGAAGAATGGTCCAATTTCTTGTTCCAGGTATGAATCTAGCCCCTTTCCCATGTGTTTCGTGACTTAATTCGTTTAAGGAGACAACAATGGCGACGGGAAGAACGGTTAAGGATGTCTAGACCACACGAGTTCGTCAAGGCTATGGGATGATGATCTTTAGTCGATTTTATCTGTGGACAATGAGTTAACAAGTAGATTAAGAGAAACTAAAGTGGCAATTTAGAACACCCGAAATTGGTTGAAGTTATCTCAGAGTTAGTTAACACTTTGAAAGTTGGTGATAGATGTTCTAATTAGAATGGGAATCAATAGCAGTTCTCTAGGCTTTAGTGTATCAATATGTTTTGGTTTTCTTCTGCGAGGTACAACAAAGAAATTGAGAAAGGTGGTGATAGATGATGAGAGACAAGTTTAAGGAAGAGGGTGATAGATGAAGATTTGCAATTTTGGCTTGAATTTTACTTCTCAATCTTTGTCGCTGTATTAGTATACCGACACCAAGTTATAGACATTTAGTAGTGACTGTTTTGTATTCATGTTAAAGCTAGTGTAAAGTTATAGACCTTAACTGATCACATGACACATCACAATTTGATCAACCATAGTTGTGGTAGAGGTAGATTTTGAGCTTTTGGCTAATTATTATGTAAAGTTTTGAGCTTTTGATTGTGGGCTTGTGTTTCTTGTTAGTAATTCGGTTTTCTCTGCTGATTTGTGTTTGATTTTGATGGTAATGGTAGATTTTCATGTAGAATAGGAGTGGTTTTTGCTACTTGTTCTGCAATCATCTCTTAATGTTTGTATTTGTTGCAGATGGAGCCTTTACCAAGTGGAAACCTTCCTCCTGGTTTTGATCCGACTACTTGATGTAGTGTGTGAGTGTGTTTTGATTGCAATAATCTTTTTTTTTTCTTAAAAATCCCACTAGAGAACTTACCATTGGACACAAAAAAATCAGAAAAAAAATCAAAGGTTCTCATCTAACACTTTCTCAAAATTTATAATAAAAAATTTGAGAGAGCTCATGGAGAGAACTCTCCCATTGGAGATGCTCTGACGTTGCCATGAGAAATAATTTACTTCCGTGTGATGTGAATTATTTATTAAAAGTTAAATAATATTTCTTTCAGTGTAGCAGTATGACTCGAATTGACATTCAGTAACACTGTAACAACGCTCTACTATACCCAGTTGAGCCAACCACTTTTGATAATTTTATAAATAAATCTTTTTTTTTTGAGTTCCAAATCAATAAAATAATTAATTTTCTGGTAAGCTCCATAAATCTAAAGAACAAAATGAAAAGTTTTTTTTTTAAATAAGTGGGCTCCGTATTATGATATGATCCTACATGTGAACAAAATGCATCGGCCCTTAATCTGATATATATATAAAATCATATTGTCCTATACGTTTATGCGTCATAACTAGCCTAGACGATAGAGCGGATCATATGGAGACAGAAATGTAAAGACCACAGTTGTGATTTTTCCTATGAGAAAAAAGGAGAAGCCTATTTCCAATTATTCCTAAATTAATTTGTAAGGTTTATTATTGTCAAAAAAAATAAAATTGTTCAGGTTAAATTTTTTCCATGTATTTACCTTTTTCTAGTAAACATTGTTTGTTTACATCACTAAAAAAGCATGTGCTATCGTTTCTGAATAAAACAAATTTTGACACTGAACAGATCCCAACTATAAAGTTAACGCGCTATGTATATCTTACAAGTAACAACAAGTTACAAGTGGTAGGTCAATGAATATCGACGTTATTTTCCATTAATCAACAAAGAACACATAAAATTGTGTCTCGAACGGAAACACTTATTAAGTTGTTCGTTGTTTCTACGGGAAATATACTAAGAGGTATGGAACTGTACGTGAATCAGAAAACTAAGGAATGGGAAATTAAACTAATTCCGACTTAACAAATTGCGCATGCAGGTAGCTTTCCATATACCGATCGAAACAAAATCTTTTTCTAAAAAAAGGATAAAACAAAAAATTGAGCAATATATACCTAGCTAATCCACAAATATTGTTTCATAGATTTTTAAAATTCATCACTTTACTCGTATATAAATTTAGTAAATGAACAAATTATCAGAAATATATATGTGGCTAGGAATAGCTAGTGCTATACAAAATACTTTTAACTAGCTAGTCATGCTATAAAATGATAGATGTATACTCAGAAAGCACATGTATCCATGCATATCATATAAGGTGTTGCATTATTGAATAAACCATGCATACCTGATTCAGATAGAACACATCATGAACACATGCCCTCGCCTTAACAATATTAATATTGGCACTTTTTTCTTCGGGCAAATCTAATCTGCATCGTGTAAATTTTCTGTCTTCCTGTTTTTCTTACACTTCTGTCTTCATATGATCCTCTTTTGTTTTTTTTTGACAGCTATGATCCTCTCTTTCTATATTCTTTTTCTTTTTTAACGGATCTTATGGATATAAAATAAAATGACATTGTAGGAATTCTTTACTGAAACTAGTATACGGATCCGTATACAAATTATCAAATATAAATAACATTTTCGATATAATTTACTACAAATATTTTTGTTTATCTCCGGTGGTAAAAAGTCTCTAACTGGGGGTACCGCCACCTGGGTTCGATTCCTGGCCACTGCGGAATTCACATGGCGGCTGCAGCCTTCCAGGACCACGTCAGCTCCGCTTGGACACGACGTTAGTCGGACCCGCTTCGGTGGAATCGGACACCTGGGTTATAAAAAAAATAGATATATTTTTGTTTATATGTTTCTCCAACAAAATATGCATGAAAATCTACATGTGACAAAATACTAATTTTGATATATACCTTTTGCAATGACAATGACAATCATTTTTTTTTGTGTGAAAACTATTGAATTCGTATAAATTATAATTCGTTTCTATATATGTTTTATATCGCGTAGGAGCTAGGAATATGTATGGATATTTGCGTTTCTAATTCAATAACCTACGTTTTTTTTTTTTTTTTTTCATCAATTCAATAACCTATGTTGCGATGCATTAATATAGTTTTCGAAAGTTATGCATTGCATTATAATATTATGGAGCAATGCGCTTTTTTGGGTTGGCAAATCTGAATTCTCTTGCCCCGGCATATGTATGAATTGTTTATGATTTTTTTCTTTTTGAACAAAAAATTGTTTATGATTAGTTAGTGAATCTTCACGTGCATAACCACTGAGCGTTAATACTAAATAATAAAAACATACAAATTTTACATTAATTTATTTTGAGTGTTAATTTCTTAACATGGATTTATTTTTTCTTAGAAGAATAAGACCACAGTAAACTGTATATCCAATAGTTATACTTATATAGTGGATCCGACATAAAAAGAGGAATGACTATGGAGCTTAATTAGCTCAATTTGGCGATGGTAAATTATGATTTTCGTGTGAATCATATATATATAATAAAAGTTCGTAGTCAAATAGATGAACCTTAATTAGCCTTGCTATCCTAAAACTTTCTCTTTTTGGGTTTAACGTTATTATATGATACACCTTATCTACCTTCTAATTTAAAATGCTAATAGATACATAAAAAAGGATGGCCTCATTATGGTGCCTCGAGAGTCAAGTCCAACCAACCATATAACATACATGATATAGGAGATCGTTCAATCGTAGTGGTAACATGCCTTTGGTCACCCCTATTTTGTATTATCTAATAATGATTTTTTATTTCTTATAAATTTTCTTATACGGTTCACATATTTTTAATTTCTTAGGTTTAGAGATCAAGTAAAGTTAAATGATAACTCATTCGTTCTAGCAGCGCTGCGTTAATCAAATTTTATGACGGCCGGGAGTTACCAAGTTAGTGAACTTTTTCCAACTCTTACCATATATATCATTGATCGATTTCTTTCAAGCCGAGATCAAATTATGCTTCCTTCAGACATGCCGAGATTTTATTGTCTTTGAAGCTGGTGTAGTAGTCTTAAGCACATTCTTCTATCTTTTCCTTGATACCAAAAAAAATAAAACCATGAAATCTTTTATACACATAATCTTTTATGAATACATATAGAAATGAAAAAAAAAAAACAAATAAAAATATGTATTTTTTTTTGTTCATGATAATCCACAGTATGTTTCATCAGTGCAATGATATATAGTGAACATTCAGTAACGTAAAGAACTAAATATAGATTACTTTCAATGGCTCATTACGAACCGGCCGGCTGTTAATTGTTCTTTAATTTGTAGAGAACACTTAATTAATAGATGAAGAGGTCGACGTGGCTAAGAAATTTACGATAAGTCGAGGCTTAATAAAGTCCAAAAGAAATATTAGTTTAATTAATTGTATTATATATGTCCAATAGTCTAATACTATATCTTTGCAAGTTAGAGAAAATCAAAAACCAGAGAACTGAAATATCCTAACGTTACCAAACAAAATAATACTTTTTCTTTACAAAATTGATTGAATATCTCTCTATAATTGATGTTAGTAACTTATACTATATATTAATTCGTATAAAACATACGTCCACGTATTCGTACAGATTGATTAACAATTTTAATTATACAATATAAAGAAAACATTATCCTTACGGTCTACAGAAAGAAAGGACAACGTGAATGATATTTCCATGCATGAGATATTTTCACGAGATATTTTCTGGATCTTAAGCCGACAAAGGTAGTGACTTTTTCTACCTTAATAATACAATACTTATTTAACAAATCATAATATTCGAAACCAAAATTATTGCTAATCTTTGTACCATCAATTATATGATTATATCCCTCTAAAAACAACTACTGTGTTCCTTAAGTGCACATCCAACCAATTAGAAACTTGATGATAATTATGTTAATCAAACACGTGTATTAACTTAAACTGATGAACAACAACATAAATATCTCTTTAGCAAAAAAAAATACAACATAAATATCTTCTAAGTATAGTTACAGATATTAATTTGATCATTTCTCAATTATTAATTTATAACTAACTAAGTGTGTCAATATGACATGTATAGCAATGTCTTTGTTCAAAAGTCTAATAACAAGCATTAGTAAGTATTTAAGTACAAAGCATGTGCTAAAGGTTCTTACCCTCTTCTTTTGATAAGCTGTAGTGAGTTTCAAATGAAATGAATTATGGCCATACGTACGTAGTATTAAGTATTTGTGGCATTTACTATAATTTGAAAGCATGATGTGGACGTAAGGATAATAAATTGAGCTGTACGTAGTTAGCTTAACTCAATGTAATACATCATCAGCATTACCTCATTTCAACTCATTTATTATAGGAACGAATATGTATTAATTTTAATGTAAATCATCTCAATGTAATGTAATTTTAATGGTTTTGAGTAAATACTATATGAATAAAATAATAAAAATACTCAAACAAACTTAAACCATTTAAGAAAAACATAAAGTTGAGAATAATATATTAAAAATAAATCCAACTAAAATAGTTATCGGACAATATTTTTTTGGATAAAATATGAATTTGTATTAACAAAATTTGACATAGTTAGTTACCAAAGTTTTAGGGGGTAATGAGTGTCTTTGTCCAAAAAAATTAAAATGCTAATTAGTTGAAACTAATTACTAAAACAAGTAAACAACAATGAAATAAGCTAGGAATGAGCAAACCATCGAGCCAACAAGCTACTGCAATTTTGATACAAAAAAAAAAAAAAAAGCTTCTACAACTATCTATCTGTCCAAAAAATGTGATCCCCAAATCTGGTTTGTTACATAAACGTATTTTCTCTGTTAAAATTGTAATAAGCCCAAAATTAAATCATATGAAGCCCATATTAAGCCCAATTGCTATACCCACATTTGCTTCGGTGTTTTTGTGAGGAGCTGAAAAACCTCAGAAAACCCCTCTTTCTCCTCTGAAGCTGTTTGTTGCCGGAGAAAATGGTGATGCTGTTGAAGAAGACAGTGAAGAAAGGTTTAATCGGCGGAATGAGCTTCGCTAAAGACGCCGGAAAAATCAATTGGTTTCCCGGTCATATGGCTGCAGCAACTCGCGCCATTCGCAACCGCCTCAAGCTCTCCGATCTCGTTATCGAAGTTCGCGATGCTCGTGTCCGTAAACACTCACTCACACTATCTCTCTTTATTCGATTCCTTTATCATTTTGGAAGGATTAATCTGGATTCTCGTTGTCTTTTTCTGGTATTTATGCAGATTCCTCTGTCATCGGCGAACGAGGATCTACAATCCCAAATGTCAGCTAAAAGACGTATCATTGCTCTGAATAAGAAAGATTTAGCAAACCCTAATGTTCTCAATGTAAGAGTGGCCCTCTGTGTTTTCTTTTGTTAGTCTCTGTGAGGTTGAGTTTCTGAATTTTTTCTGCAATTTGTAGAAATGGACTCGTCATTTCGAATCCAGCAAGCAAGATTGTATTGCCATTAATGCTCATAGCAGAAGCTCTGTCATGAAGGTTAGATGATCCTCTTTACATTTAGCTTGGTGTGTTAAATCAGTAATAGTTTTGTCACACACATAATTTGTGAAGGATTGCTACTATTCTGTATTTGAAAAGATACCTTCTTTGTGTGATTTCGAAGCTGCTTGATCTCGTGGAATTGAAGCTTAAGGAAGTGATTGCTAGGGAGCCTACTTTACTTGTGATGGTGGTTGGTGTCCCCAATGTTGGAAAATCTGCGCTCATTAATTCGGTCCATCAAATCGAGGAACTCGCTTTCCGGGTAAGATATTAGTGTCTCAGCTTATAGGCTGTATTATATACACATTTCACAGATATAGTCTGAACTCTGAATCCCATTTCTCCAAACTTAAACTTACAAGTTGATTATTTCATGAACAAAATGATGAAGGAAATGTAATGTGGCTTATTTTCGTTATTATATGCATTATGTGCATAGTGCAGGAGAGATTAAAGAGAGCTACGGTTGGTCCATTGCCTGGTGTAACACAAGATATTGCTGGTTTCAAGGTAATCTTTATTTCTTCCTCCTCTTTTTCCTTTTGCCTTTTGTTTGTGGATTTGCTTCTTATGCCCCAGCATGATTTTTGATCACATACTGAAAATGTTCTGTGGTACAGATTGCTCATCGACCTAGCATATATGTTCTAGACTCCCCTGGTGTGTTGGTCCCAAGTATTCCTGATATCGAAACCGGTTTGAAGCTTGCTCTTTCAGGTTCTTATCTATATCTTTATCTCCTTTCTCTTCTTTCTTCTATGTGCTAGATCATGTAAACCCGTTCACTAGATATACTTCATCAAAAGATGATACACTTTAGGTCTTATAATCTCAGTTCTTAGTGTTTATCTACTCCAGGGACAGCTTTCTTAAAGCATATGATCTCCCTAGCTAATTGTTATGCGTTTGACATTCAAAGGGTCCGTTAAAGATTCAGTTGTGGGTGAAGAGCGGATTGCACAATACTTTCTAGCTATTCTAAACATTCGAGGGACTCCTCTTCATTGGAAGTACTTAGTTGAGGGAAGAAACGAAGGGCCTCATGCAGACTGTATCGATAAACCAAGCTATAACCTAAAGGATCTTCGACACCAGAGAACCAAACAACCAAATTCATCTGCTCTGCACTATGTCGGGGTTAGCATATTAACCTTATATCTCTACCTTGCTTTCCTCCTGAAATTGTCCTAACCAATGGAGGTTCCCTGTTATCTACAGGATATGATTTCAGAAGTGCAACGATCACTGTATATAACGCTCTCAGAATTTGATGGGGACACAGAGGATGAGAATGATTTGGAATGTTTAATAGAGCAACAGTTTGAAGTTCTACAGAAGGCACTGAAGATTCCACACAAAGCATCCGAAGCAAGGTTAATGGTCTCCAAGAAATTTCTTACTTTGTTTAGGACAGGTAGACTTGGTCCCTTTATCCTTGACGATGTCCCTGAAACTGAAACTGACCACCCCAATTCGAGACGCGTAGTTGTTTGGTAAAATCTTAAAGCAAATTGTAACACATTATGCGTGCAGCTTAAGATGATGATTCTATTTGTTTACATTTGAGATTTAATGGCGTTGCTCCAGTAACTCCAAAGTATTTGAATGAACAAAATTGAATCATGATAAGATTTGGCATCTGCCAGAAACAATAAAATCTATTGGGTGTCTTCATTTATTGGCCTCAATGAATTCACGGTACTCTTTCTTCATCTTCACACCCGATATAGTCCTGCACAGACTCGGAATCTTTTGCTAGCATCATGCGTTTTTATACCTTATATGAACTAGTAAACATATTTTTATTTTTGAAATAGTTTTCTTTTCGAGTTAGTTTTGTTGGTAAATATGCAACGAAATTATAATATACAAATATATACAAATCATAAAAGAAAATATATATATTAGTTTTGTCGTGGTTTTTCACAATATATATATATATATATATATATATATATATATATACGAGTAATGGTTTGTAAGATCATAATAAATTAGTATAAAGAGTCAAAGGATTAAGTATTTTTGCTAAGAGTCAAAATATTTTTGAAATAAGCTAAAATTTGATCAAATAATAAAAGAAAAAGTATCATATTATGGCTCCAAATAGTGATGTAGTATACTTATGTAAAATAGTTACGTCACCATCAGAGGTAGATGCAGATATTAAATTTATGGGGGGCAATATTAAAATTCGTCAAAGAATTAGAGGATCAAAACTTAGAGGATCAAAACTGCAAATATCAAAGAGCATAACTGAAAATGTTTAACATTTGCATTAAAATTGAGCTGCCCCCTATTAGACTACGTGGATCCGCCACTGGTCACCATTGAGAATCTTACCAAAAAATTATTTAACTGATGTAAAATATTCTATGTCAACATTTGGACAAAAAAAGAACATCTATTCATTCTAAAATGAAAAGAACGTGACACACTCTATTTAAAAGAGAGTGTTATGGCTGAACCACAAATTGATTTCCGGTTCACATAAACCGTAACTACTAAGAAATTAATGATCATTTAATTTTCTCAATCAAAGTGCTGAGTAAAAAGATTATGAGTCTAAATAGTAACCAAGGAATGTCGATGAATTTTTAGTGATTTTCAAATGAATATAGTTGATTTTTTTTTATTTCTAAATAGTAACGGCTAGATCTACATATTATACATATATATATATATATATTATTATTTTTGATTTTCGACACTATCTTGCAAAATAATTAAGAGGCGAGATTATCTAAGTTTTTTTTTTTCTCTTAATTTCTTGTAGTTTTTTAATCAATAAAATGATGATGACTAGTAGGAACATTATTAAAATTTTGATATTTTAAATAATATGTTAGCATAGTTATGAGTTGTTTTTCCAAAATTTAAAAATTCATTTAAAAATTATCTAAAAGTTATTAAAATTATCCAAATGATCTATATAGTTATACAATATAACCAAACATGAATTCGACCTTTGTCCATTCCGTTTTATGTATATGAATTATTCATATATCGTATCCATATTATGAGACTTGTTTAAAAAAACAAATTTAAGATATAATTTTTGATATCTAAATTATTTTAATTTGAGCAGTGTATTCGTTATAATCTGAATATTTACACAAAATGAATATAATTGGTGTTGAAAAAACTGCTAAATTTGACTGAATTCAGTTGAATTTAGTTTGATGTAAATAGTAACATACAAATAATATTCAGAACCAGATTCAATTTCCAAAAAAAAAAAAATTGGGGTCAAACAACTCAATTTCCTTAAATATTTTAGGAAATTTTCCTTTTAAATACATATATATTAGGTGGAAAAAATTGGAATATTTATGTGTAATATTTTCCTATTTATAGAATTTAGAAATAAAATTGGATAAAAATCTCCGTTTATATGTAAACAACAATCGTCGCAATTTCCAAAGGGGAAAAAAGAAAAATTGGGTTTCGCTCGATCCGATTAGATGGGGAGAGAGGGCGTTCAGATGAAGAGGAAGCGAAGAGAGCTAACGAACAAGACGAGAGGGCCCTGCAATTTCTGCGAATTCTCCAGCAGCAGGTACTTCTCACACAGAGATTTAGCGAACAAGGGTTCGATTTTCTAGGGTTTTCATTGTTGATTTAGGTCTTTAGGTAATTTGGGATATGGGAACAATCACTAAATCTGCTTATTAGGTTTATTGATTAGCTTTTTACTCGGCTTAGTTGGATCTCGGAATCTGAATCTGAGGATATGATTGAATCAGACAATATACTTAAACCTAAACCCCTTGGCCTTTTCCAGATATGGATGCAGCTCTGAAGATAAGCTGCAGGGGCAAGACAATGAAGCATTGGTATGTAATATATATATACTCATATATCTATCTCTTTGGATGTTATACCTATGTTCTTGCTTACATTCAACTTCTCTTCTTGCAGCTGCGGAAAGAAGTCAAGAGATTACGGCTTTTGATCAAGTATGCCTGCCTGCCTGCCTGCCTGCGTTTCCCACTTTCTTGTTCAATTATTCCTTTTGGTTCATGTGCTTTTCTTTCATAATTCCAGGAGAATGACTGGTAAGGACGATGGTGTCAGCTTCACCGAGCTGCTAGCTCTTGAAAGTCACCATAAGAATGTCCTACCCATTGTGCTGGAGCAAAAGGTGAAATAGGGGGGAAATATATATTACTTGACTTTCTTCTTCTTTTTCTCTCCTTTTATTGAAGGTATCGTAATTCTCAAGAATTTTCTTTAACGATTGGTTATTGCAGAAGAAGATAAAGCTGGAAGAAGATGAAAGGCTGCAGAAACAGGTAAAGTTTCTAATTCATAATTTAGCTCTCTTCTTTATTTTGCCCTGTATCCAAGTTTTGTTTGTGAATCTTTGAGGAACGTCAGTTTTACCCTTTCCAGTCTAAAATTTCTCACAAGGCCATTGCTTTTGCTTCTCTTTTTTCTTCTTCTTAAAGTTCCTTGTTGACCTTGCAAGTTCTTAAGCTTTCTCACCTTTTTCTTCTTTCTTTCTTTTTTCGGGTAATTACATATTTGACATATATCACAAACCCCTACGATTTTGCAGAAGAAGGAAGCAGAGCATGAGGCTGATGGTACGAGGAGAGGGGTTTTGGTTCCTTGCAAATTCTCTGCCGGCAGGTAATCTCTCTGCTAAAGAATTGAGTTATTTTTGTTGGGTTTGGTCACAACAATTTGTGTCTCTGTGCAAATGGTTCCATTTTCTAGGGTTCCTTGCAAATTCTCTGCCGGCAGGTAATCTCTCTGCTAAAGAATTGAGTTGTTTTTGTTGGGTTTGGTCACAACAATTTGTGTCTCTGTGCAAATGGTTCCATTTTCTAGGGTTTCTTCTGTCGAAATGAGTGTAATGAAACCTGCTTTTTTTTTTATGAGCTATATAAACCAAAATCAGTTGTAGTTTCGTCCTTTTCTTGGCTTATTAGCTACTATTGGACTCAACAGTAGGAGTTGAATCCTTCATCTCTCAGAAATCAGAATCTGAGGGATATCTCTTGTTTTTTTTTTTGATCATCAAAACCAATTGTGAAAAGTAAAGGCTGACTTGTTCTGAATATATAATACAGCTTGGGAGAAAGACAGGAGAATCCAAATGGTGGAGCACCACTGGTGCGTGTATATTCTCTTCTGTTCTCTTTCCTCAGATTGTGTCTTTAAAATGCTCATTTTTCTTGCAGCTGCAAACGAAGAGGGAATTCGAGAGACGAAGCCCTGAATCCTTGCAGCTGGAAATGAAGAGGGAATTCGAGAGGCGCAGCTCTGAATCCTTGCAGAGCGAGTTCGACAGATTATGGCTTTTTAACGAGTAATAACTTAGTACCATTTCCCACTTCTTGCTCTGCAAAAGTCTCTGTTTCTTTTTTTTTTTTTTTTTGTCATTTTGGGTTTTCTTTCATCTCACAGGAGAATGAATGGTAGAGAGCTCGAGGGTATGACTTTATTCGACCTGTCCATACTTCACATTCAGATATTACGAGCTTTGAGGGCTTGTATTAACCAAAGGTTGGAACCAGTAGAAGAACAAAAAGCATGGCTGCACGGAGAGGTAAAAATTTACCTATCAGTGTATATTATATGTTTTTAGTAAGTAGCGTATCTGAATCGCTTCTTCTATTCACACATTTTCTTAGCTTGTTTGCTACACCAACAAGGAATCAGTCTCTGGGTTAGCTGAGCCCGAGAGATGTTCATTGGACAATGACAAGGATGCTGACATTTCCTTGCAATGTAGACTTCTTCTTGTTTCAAGAAAGCTCAGAAGATTCCATAATTGTTATCAGCGGAAGAGCATCCCGGGACCAGGTCGGTCTGCCAGAGTCGAGTGACTTCCGATTGATCTGGTTTTAGTGTGTACCGTCGTAACCTTATCTGCCCTGGTTGCTGATTTCTCTATTTCTATTGTGACATATCAACTTGGCACTTTATCTGTCTTAGCCTTGAAGTCTACGCATCTTGGATTGTAAACTTAGAATGAGTCTATTGAATTAGAGTTTAATTTATTACCAAGGTAAGATGTTGTTTTAAGACTCACTATGTTAGGACTTGTGGACTATTATAAAAGTTCTGTTATCTGGTACCTACCGTATACCTACCGTATAATATATGCTAAAATTTGATGCCAAAGTTATGTTAAATTTGTGCTGTTTTTGTGGTTTTTTTTGTTTTCTTTTCCCTCTAAATATAACAATGCGTTTTTTTCTAAAATGTTGGCCAAGATTATGAGACTTATTAGTTCAAAACATTTGGTCCAGTTAACTGGTGTTGAGTGTAGTAGGCGACGCAATGGTCTTTCTGAATTTGTGCATGTCATTGATAGTGTTTATATGGTCTTTTGAGTTGCCATACACATGAGAAAGAATTGTGTTGGCGAGCCAACTAATCTGAGAACGCTGTCTTACAAAAGTTTCCAAGGTATCAACCAATTTCTTCCATCTGTTGGGTAATATGCTCAAATTTGGCTCCAATTGGCATATGGTCGGCCAAGAGAGTTCCCTAAGCAGCTTTAAGATTTAAGATTATCTAAAACACATTTGTTTAGAGTGCAACATTTTCCTAAAGCTCTTTCTGCCTCGTGAGTTATCTCCGTCATAAGAAAGCACTGTGAAAACTCCACCAAGTTAACTAGAATCCTAGACAATGAGCAATAGTGGTGGTGGAGTTTAAATGGCTTCTTTGGCTGCAGAAGGTTAATCAGCAAACTGACACAACAGGTTGCGTGGTTCGGGAAGAGAGGAATTTCTTCCTCAAAATATATAAACGATGATAGATATACGAACATTCGTAGGATAGATAAGAAAAATCCAGATTTAAAAAGTTTGATCATTAGACTTTCTACTTTTCCTTTATTTTCTTCCATCTCAAATGAAATAGGTTCAAAAACTTAATCACTCATCTTACTGTGTTTATCTTCTTGTTATTCTCAAGTATATTTGCTAAAACCTAGGGGAATCCTTTTTTTTTTTGCTAAATGGTAAATATTTCATTGATAATGAAAACAGTTTAGGTTACAAACATAGAATTTGAAACCTATACATATGGATCCATGGCAAAAAAGAATAAAAACATGGAAGCATAAAGACGGTTAATTAAAACCAAGTTTTCGGTCCATCTTCTCAACCTTGCGATGAAGCAATGGGAAAAGATGAAGCGATGACGTTCAATTCTATCCTTCCCGCATGAGATGCAAAAGCAGAAGGGCTAATACTGATTGTGAAACACCAAATTGCAATGGACCAAGAGCTTTAGAAGCCTTTCGCTTGAGGCCCGAGACTGAGCCGTCAACGGTTTGAAACTCCAAAGCAACGATCACATACTCTCCCTGCGACATGTGAGATCAATTCTTCGTTCCAATCCATGAGCTTTCTCAAAAGCAGAACCTCACACTCCAAAGTAACCAATGATGCAAGCTCCCTCTAACCAAGTTCATAACCCGAGGTCAGCAGCGCAGAGCAAGATAAAAACCATTCTCCACCACACCATAAGCCATTAGCCCTACTAGCTCCTCTAAAGCTCAATCCAAACACAAAGAAAAAGCGAGCACGCAAAGCAAAGCAATCTTCACAACAAAGGCAATAACAATAGGAAGCCACATGAAAGAACAGGCCCTGAACTTAACCAAAGAGATGATATACAAGCGGAGCTCTCAGAAGAAGTGGGGAACTAGCTACCACCGATAGCTAAAGCCACAACAAAAAGAACACCGTTGCAGCTACACAATGGAGGCAAAGAGCATCTGAATCAACGAAAAAGCTTAACCATCCACAAGAAACCATGCTCCTAATAGTTTTGCTACTGCCCTTAAGCAGAAGAGGCCAACAGAGACACAGTTCTCCTAAATTAAACTCGACGAAGACTAACTAGACGAAAAAGACCAACCACAAGTAGCCATTCTCTGAGAACCTATGCGAAGGAGAAACAGAAAAGAGAGGCGGAGGAATCAGAAGCTACAACGGGTCGAAGGAGACCACCAACCAAGGCTGGAAAACCAGCCACAGAGCTAAAGAAAGCCCCTCGATTCAAACTCCGACACACGAAATCGACAAGCACGGAGAGGACAGAGGCTTCAAACGTGTTGGAGTAAGCCGTCCTCAAAGCGAACAACCGACACAGTGAGACCCATAACTCCGGCAGACACGAGCCGAAACGCGACGGTTAAACCAAGAGATATCTTGGAAAAAAATGAAACCGAGAAGGAGAGAAGCAACCACGGCAAAGCCAAGGGACACAAAACTCACAACCAGAAACACCGGGAAGAAGGCAATCTGGGAAGATTTACAAACCGAAGCTTGCTCCGCCGCTTGAGATGCGAGACGCAAGACCAGAAAAAGAGCCACCACCTTGATCCACCACCGTCTACAGGAAGAGGAGATAGATAGCACTAAGAAATAGTCACCGGAGACCAGCCGTCACGCACGGCAGATCCTTCGACACTTGTCACGAGAACAGAGACGAACCGGGAATCCTATTGTTGTTACTTTTCATTGCACTGTTTGATGCTTATGGGTCTAATGGCTTTGAGCCAACTGTTGTTTTAACGATGGTTTGGTAACAATGCTCTGGTTGATTCCAATGGAGGAGATGCACAAACAAATTGTTTCAAAGAAGCAACTGGTTGATTACGTATTCACGAAGGTTATTTGCGTTGTATCCAAAGCTTGATTCAGGAAGAAATTAAACAGAGGACAATGTGACCACAATCGATTTCAAGAAGAAGCGAAAACTGGTGATTCTATCGAAAAACGGATCATCGAGGACGATACTAAACGAGAATCTTCTCATGCAGCTAGCAGAAGAAATCGGGTTCATTGTCGAGGGTACAAGACCGCAGAAAAAAGAAAAAAAAAAAGAAACAGAGATGGCTAAGATAAAGATTTACTGCTCGATGAACACAAGCAACGTAATGATCGGTGTACATGGAGCTGCAATGACCCATTTTTTATTTTCTTGAAACCAAAAACCGTATTCATTCAGATAATCCCTTAAGGGACGGATCGGGCTACACATACATATTTTTGGAGAACCGGCGAAAAAGCTACGATTGAAGTACATTGGTTTCAAGATTGCACTGAAAGAGAGCTCTTCGTATGACGAATATGGCAAAATATGATCCTGTAATCCGAGATCTGGATAGTCTCAAGGATAAAGGATAGGAATTATATACCAAACGTGAAGCTTGAATTGAGAAGATTCAGAGAAATGCTAGCTCGTTCGTACGATTTCCCCATTACAAGGAGATTTAGAGAGAAAGTTCCTCGTTTACTTGTTGTTACTTCGAGCTATAGGAAGAGAAGAATCAGAAAAAAGTGTAACGTTTTCATTTTTGTAGAGTTTTGAATGACAATTAAATTGATGAAGTACATACTGTATATATATATCCTATACTATTATTTGGGGAGTACACTTTATAAGATACCCTAAACTAACCTTCTCTTTTGTAAAAATTTACTTAAGAATGCCATTAGAAATAAAATTTTATAGACTAAATTAATTCAACTCATTAAGGATAAACAAGTCAAATACTATTTTATGCAATTTAATTATAAAAACGAAAATCTATTATTAATTTCTTTAAAAAGAATGACCAATCAAAATGAACATATAAGATTTGATATCGAACTTACCATATTAATTTGTTATTAATCATTATACTTCACCTCTCATCTTTATATGATTCTATTTCTATAAATAAATAAATCATTATATCATCTATATAATAAAAAAAAAAAGTAAATTTTTTTCCGCATATACCAAGATTTGAATTTTTATAAACGAATATAAATTATTCAATGTATGAAAGAACAAATTTAACGGGTCAAAAATTCATATTTGAGTAATATATTCCTTTTTTTTAAATATCATCAATACTTAATAGATCAAAAATTTATGAAGTATAAATACTCTAATTTTATTTTTTGAAACAAATATTTATAATAGGCGGCGGGTTGAATATAATATATTATATAATGAAGTGAGTTATGATCCTTATAACTATTTGAATATTTTATTTAATTTCATATCATTTTTTTTAAAATTCATAATTTTACATAGTACAATAAAAATTTTTAAAGATTTTAATTTGGAACATTTTAAAAAAGTTTAATTTAATATATTAAAGAATATCATAAATATTTAATAGATTAAAATGATAAAAATTTATAAATACATTAATTTGATTTTCTAAAAAGATATGTTTAAAATATTTATAGTAGGCGGCATGTTAAATGTAATGTATCATTTGGTAAAAAGTTATGATCCTTATAACAGACGGCATTTTAAGATTTTATGATGAGATGGGTTAAATAAGGTTTGACACTTCTAAATGTTTGAAAATTTGATTCTGCAAGCAATTTTGAAAATAATAAATAATAGATTGTGCCGCAATATTTTCATAGGGAATGTAAAATGAAAATATAGACTCCACACACGGATTGAATTTGGTATTATTATATACCAAATATATGTTCATAACATATTTGATTATGTGAATAATTGGTAAATCCCGTAATTAGCTCAAAAAAATCTCTATTTCAACAACAAATGAATCAGAATTTGAAAAAATAATTTCCTAAATTAATTCAAAATAATAGCTAATTTTCTTAAGTAATTCAAAATAATCTACGTTTTAGATGCGATTCATTTATGATATTTTAATTTTTGATCTAACTAAATTATATGCACTCTCATTTTGTGGTTGTTAACATAAATTAACTCATTGTTCAAACAATATCCATAATTGAATACTATAGAAAAAGGAAAATATATTCATTCTAATATTATATATAGGGATTGACAAAAAAAATATTATTTTTTCACTTACTATTATAATATATCATAATTTTATTTTAAAACATAAAATTTATAAATTTTGTAATAAATGAAATTCAACCCGTACTGTAGTACGGGTGATGATCTAGTATATATATAAAAACCAAACCAATTATTACTCATGTCATATATCTCTTAGACTTGGTGATAATAGCACCGTGAAATATGTCCGCTGAAATGCATCAAAGATTGCAACTACACGCTACATAAAAAAAATTGGGTAATAAATAAGGTTGCTTATTCAAGATGAACTAATGAAACACATTAACCTATGCTGAGTTGATCTTTATTAGATAATTAGAAGTTATGTGACACGTATACAAACTTTTTCTTAAGCTTAAGAAGTTTGTGAGAAGATAATTTTACAATATTTCGAATGAATATCTAGTGGTAATTACGTTTTTTAATAGTGCATCTTTATCATCTAAAATATACATTAGTAATTGATTTCCAATATCAGTTTAATAAAGATTTACGGGCAGAAATGTTTTACCACATCAGAGAGAGTTATTTAAAAAAAAAAATTACAAACATAGGCTGATCTAACAGAAATTCATTTAGAAATTCAAAGCACTAAAAAAAATATATATATATATATATATAATGTAAATTTACATGATTATTAATTTATGTTATTAATGAGACCATATATTAATACATAGATTCTAAAAAAATAAAAAAAATTATCTTATTATCTTATCGAATTTTGTTCATTTTTATTCTAAAAGTTATATAAATCAAATATTACTTAAGATATATTGAATGAAATTCATTAAAAAAAAAATTCCATTATTCCACAAAATGTATCCAATCAAAATTATTTATTCAGAAAGTTTTCGTTTTACAAATTGTATCATGAAAATTTTGCGGTATATGTAATAATGAGAGTCTATAATGTTTTGGTTTTTCCGGTATAAATTTAGAAAAATACTAAAAGATAACTGGAAAGAACTCTCGCAATTGCCGCATCTTTACTTTTGTTTCTATCAAATTAAAGAAAAGTAATCATTTTGCGAGGATACCTCCAACTCCAAGCTAGTAAATGGCAAAAGACAACAAAGAGTAAAATATATATTGGTTCAATTATTAGAACGCTGACAAGAGACTCTAAAATCATGTAATGATTAAGTATATATACCCCTCCGTTATTTCAGATAATCGGACCGGTTAATCGATCGGCAGAGACATACTAGGTTTCGAATGACAAATATTAAATTCATTAAGTGAGTGTAATTGGTTTTGTGACATGTGAGTTGTGACATAGTTTATATTTGACTGACCATGCAGTTTATCGTTTACTCGTTGACGTTAAGATAATAAATCAATTTTCTTTTTTAATGTATCCCGCAATGTGGTTTAGCGTGTGTCATCAAAATTGTTTCGATACATAAACGTGTTTTCTATGAAATGATGGTAGTACGTAAGCCCAAAGATATATAAATGAAAGAGAGGCCACATTAAATAGCCATACGAAGAAAAAAAACAAGACCGATAATCAGTGGCGAAGCTAGAATTTAAATTTACCGGGGTCAAAATATAAAAAATTATTTTAATAAAATAGATGTGGTTGTTTTTTTTCTTCAAATTGTATTGCATATAGCTTATGTTTTTTTTATTACATTTACAAAAATAATATTCGGATATGGAGGATATCAGGTTCTGGATTTGTTTGTCGATGTTTCTGATGCGATAGTATTTCTCTATACCTCTTATTATTTTCTTTTTACTAAAAGGTTTTGAATTTAGGTGCTTACATCTCCTTAGGCCAGTGAACATGACATTTTATGTGGTAATTTTCCAAACAACACGCGAACCTTTGCCTAAAATTTTTTACCAGTTAAGTTACTAACGATACAATTCATAGTCAGAAATGTAAAAGTCAATGTCTCTCGGTCTAAGGACAAAAATAAATATGGAAACGTTAAGATAATGTAACTCAATTTCCGATTACTAAACTTTTTTTTTTTTTTTTTTTACCGCATTTCCTATTAACAAACAAAAAAAAATTAGAACAAATTAAATAAATTTTTTTTTCAAAACAAATGTAAAAAAACAGAAAAAGGAGGTAAGTGTAATGTACCTTTTTTCGTTTTCCATTACAATTTGGAAAAATAAAATTGGGAATAATAAGGTTTGCCTTGGATAAACCATGTCTCTCTCTCTACATTAACACAAGAATTGCCTTTTCTTCTATCAGATATTAACTTTGGGTTTCGTTCGATCCGATTAGAAATCTCGATAATGGGGAGAGGAAGGATTAAGATGAAGTTGAAGGGGAGGCGACGAGATTTGACGAAGAAGAAGAAGGTGAGAGAGCTCTGCGATTATTGCGGATTCTCCAGCAGCACCATTAGGTAAACTCGCGGAATCAATTATTATTATTAGCTTCGATTCTTGCGGAATGGGTTCTATTTTCTAGGGTTTTGTTGTTGAATTAGTTCGTATTTAGGTCATTGAGATATAGAACACGTTTGGTTATGAGTTACAAACCCTAGCCATCGCAAGATCTGATTCTGCAATTTTTTATTCTTCCTTTCGTTTTTCTGGGTTAGCAGAGCTGTTACTAGGATTTTTATCACTTATGCCACTTTCTCCAAATAAGTGGGCTTGGTAGAATTATTTGGAATATCTCTTTATTCTGCAACATAACTTGTAATCACCTAAACAACAGTTTAAACCAAAGCCCTGACTTTCTTCTGTGTTTGCAAACTCTTTCTAGGTATGATGAACAAAGGCCACACGAACGAGATCACGAAGCAGTGGTATGTATCTTGTATGGACTTTGATCTCTCTGTATATTTTATTTCTGTTTTTTTTTGGGGCTCACATATCGTTTTTCACACTTCTTCTAGTCTATGGAGAACGAACTCAAGAGATTACGGCTTTTGACCAGGTCTAACTCATTAACATTTCCCATTTCTTGTTCTGAAAAATTATCTCCTGTTTTTTTGTTATCCCTCTCCTCTCTTTCCTTTGTGATTCTTATGAGTTATCCTTTATATATTTCCCAGGAGAATGACTTGTAAGGATCTCGACGGTCTGACTTTCCCCGAGCTTCTATTACTTGAAAGCCATTTAAAGACTGCCTTGCTCATTGTGAAGGACCGAAGGGTGAGTAAACAAATTTTAAAATTGGGGGAATATAGATAAGAAATAATGCATCTTACTTCTTTCTTCTATCATTCAAAGTGTTAAATAAACATCTTTTTCTTTTTTTACAACTGTTACAGAAGAAGATAAAGCTGCTTAAAGATGATGAATGGATGCTTATACGGGTAAAATTACTGCTGTTTGTGAATCTCCGAGGACCTGCTGTTCATGTTGTTCTTGTAATATCTTCCAACTTTGAAGCTTTCTTACATTTTTGTAGAGGAAGGGCGATGATCGTGTGGGGATAGAGGTTACTGTTCCCTGCAAATTCTCTACCAGCAGGTAGTCTCCTCCTTCCTAGCTTAATTGGAAGAACTTTTTGGTTCTAAGTTGTAGTTGTCTGGTGCACATTACTGACTGTGCAAAACTAAAGCCTGATTTGGTGGGTCTTGGTATATGTACAGCACGGGGGAGAGACAAGATGATGAAGCACCAGCACCGCCGCGGCTGGTATGTATATTATATTCATTCACAGTCCTGCCTCTCTCTTTGCCCCACATTGTGTTGTTATAAATGTGCATCTCTTTTTGCAGTCGAAACTTCAGCGAGAATTCGAGAGACGAAATGCTGAAACCATGATGATTGAATACGAGAGATTATGGCTGTTGAAGGAGTAATGACTCGCCATCCCACTTGTTGCTCTCTTCAGAGTCGATGTCAGTTTCACTTTGTTTCTGATGGTTTTTTTTTCTTTCTTGAATCTGACAGGAGAATGAACGGTAGACAGCTTGACGGTATGAATCAGGGCGAGCTGGGCTTACTTGAACTTAAGATAGTAAATGGATTGCAGGATTTGCTGGAGCATATGTATGCACCAACAAGGGAACAAATCGCTAAGAAGCGCAGATCTCTGTTAAGAGATGTTCAGGGAGCTGAGCGCGATGGATGATCATCATGTTCCATCACCAAGGGTTTCACGAAAGCTCAGAAGGCCACACCGGCGATCAAACCTGTCTGCTAGACTCTAAGTGACTTCTGGTTTCTCTATTTCTATTTGAGTTTATCGTCAGTCCTGACTTCCTCATGTCGAGTCTCTCTCATTTGAATTTAACATGTCTTTTAAAAAAAAAAAAATGTCTTTTAAGTAAATTTATTAATCTATTATAGTCGTGGCATGTTACAGAGTATCATTTTTTCTTGATACTTGCACTTTCCGACCTCTTTCAACATCACCTTCAACCTCAAAATCTTATTATTACTGTTCTTTTGAAGCATTCTTTCGAACACTTGGCATGCATTGACCTTACAGCTCACAGACTTCGCTTTCCAATCAAAGCTCTTTTGCATTGCATTCAATCTTAAGCAACGACAACAACAACAACAGCATTACATTCACTTGCAGACAAGACACGAATCCAACCATTCCATTTTTGGTCTGGTCGAAAATTTCACAAATCTCAGGTTCTGATTTAAAAGTTTTAAAGTTTCGGGCTTTTTTGATCCGATGTTGGTTCAGGATCGTGCGGCGTCTTCTCCTGCCAAGCCGCCGAAATCTCAGATCAGAGAACTACCTACTCATCAACAGATCCGACGACGATTCAGTGAACCCAAAAACCTAGATTTCTCGACTTGGTTCTCTGAGAATCTCTCCAGAATTGCTGTCTTCTCTCTCTTAATCGTCACCATAGTAGCTCTCTTCTTCCTCTAAAACACCACCGACACTGCTTCTCTCCTTTGTTTCCAGTCTCAGTCAACTCAGTCGCTTCAATCTTTCTCTCGCCCTCAAATCAAGTGGAATTCGATCCCTGTCGTCCTCGACAAGACCTCCCCGTACGCTAATTTCCTGACGGAGAAATGGATTGTTGTGTCGGTGACCAAGTACCCAACTGAGGAGCTCAAGAGCTTGGTGAAGATTCGTGGATGGCAGGTTCTAGCGATTGGAAACTCGGTGACACCAAAGGATTGTTCGATCTTTTTGTCTCTCGATGCTCAAGCTGAATTGGGTTTTCGAGTTTTAGATCACTTGCCTTATGATTCTTTCGTGCGGAAGAGTGTTGGTTACTTGTTCGCGATACAGCACGGTGCGAAGAAGATCTACGATGCGGATGATCGTGGTGAAGTGATTGATGGAGACCTAGGGAAGCATTTTGATGTTGAGTTAGTTGGTGTAGATTCTAAGCAACAACCTATTTTGCAGTATAGTCATGAGAACTCCAATAGGACTGTGGTTAATCCTTATATTCATTTCGGGCAACACTCGGTTTGGCCTAGAGGATTGCCATTAGAGAATGTAGGTGAGATCAATCATGAGGAGTATTACACTGAGGTTTTTGGTGGTACGCAGTTTATACAGCAGGGAATTTCTAATGGTTGATTCGGTGTTTTACTTCACTAGGAAAACGACTTTAGAAGCTTTTGATATTAGGTGTGATGGTGCCGGTTAATCCTTTTAACACTCGTCGGCCTTTTGGGGGTTAATGCTTCCTGTTTCGGTTAGTTCCATGGCTTCTGATGTGTTGAGAGGTTGCTGGGGACAAAGGCTTCTGTGGGAGCTTGGTGGTTATGTTGCTGTTTATCCACCTACGGCTCACCGATTTGATAGAAGAGGAGGATCTTCATGCTAATGTTGGTCGTTTGATCAAGTTCTTACTTGCTTTGCTTGGAGGTCAGAGAAGCATAGTTTCTTTGAGACTATCCTTGATTTGAGCTTTGCTATGGCTGAAGAAGGGTTTTCGACAGAACAGGATTTGAAATTCACAGCTGCTTGGCTTCAGGATTTGATTGCTGTTGGGTACCAACAACCGAGATTGATGTCGCTGGAACTGGATCGCCCGCGAGCAAGTTTCGGTCATGGAGATAGAAGAGAGTTTGTTCCAAGGAATTTGCCTTCGGTTCATCTCGGGGTTGAGGAGACCGGCACAGTGAGCACTGAAATAGGGAACTTGATTAGGTGGAGGAAGAATTTTGGGAATGTTTTACTTGTTGTGTTTTGTAACGGTCCCGTTGAACGCACCGCACTCGAGTGGAGGTTACTTTACGGCCGCATATTCAAAACTGTTGTGATATTGTCTTCTCAAAAGAACTCAGATCTCTATGTAGAAGAAGCCAAACTCGATCACATATACAAGTATGAATTTCCTCAAGATTAGTAATGTATATGTTGATTAAAGTTCAAGATTCGAACGGTAAGTTTGTATGTATATTTCAGGCATCTACCGAAGATATTTGATAGATACAGCAGCGCAGAAGGATTTTTGTTTGTTGAAGATGATACAATTCTCAATTACTGGAATCTAAGATTTGGGCTACAGAGACAAGGTACAACATTTTCATCAAATTCTCAGCTTTTTTATTTTATTATTCCACTATCTCGTTATGTGTATCTGACAAGGAATCTTCTTGTTGTAAACTGGCGATTTAGGTATCAAAGTCATGGACGTCAGTGAAACCGACCGGGAACTCTGATTGGTTTTCTGACCGGAGAGGCGATACTAAGAAGATCCACCGAAGACGAAACTTAATCCTAAAGTTGTAATCGTACGAAGATGGCCATCGAGAAATCGAACACGACGGTGGGAGGTGTTGAGATACTGAAGCCACGTACGGACAACAGAGAATATCGGATGATTGTCCTTAAGAACTTGCTCCAGGTCCTGTTGATCAGCGATCGCGATACCGATAAGGTTTGAGGTCATTATGATTTGGTTTCTGATATTGATTCCTTTAATTTTGGGTTTCGTTTACTGATTCGTGAAGTTTGATTATTTTCTTCAAGTGTGCTGCTTCAGTGAGCGTTAGTGTTGGATCATTCTCTGACCCTCAGGGATTAGAAGGCCTAGCTCATTTCTTAGGTACGTTTGAGTTTTCAAGTTTTGTAATTTCTCAAGTAGAATTCGAATTTTTCAGGATTTTGGAATTTCCATGGAATGATTCAATCACTGTGCTGTCATTGATTGATTAAATCTATTGTTTTATGTTTTAACTAGATGTTAACCCGCGGTACACCGCGGGTCTATATTTTTATTAGAAAAATTTATTAAATTTTGTTTTAAGATACTCTATAGATATATACTATTTTTTTGTTTAATTTAAATGTATAATACACCGTGAGACGAAATTTTATTACAAAAATTGAAATTTTATAGATAGACGTAGTATAAAAACAATAGATTCAATTGTATGATTTTGAATAAGATGCTGATTTAACCCGTCTTATACTGATTTTACCCGCGGTATTCGTATGCTAAATTTTAAATAATAAAATGAGGATTTAATATGTGTTATAGCGATATATTAGTGATATTTTAATTTTATATTAATATCAATCCTAACCAAACCTGTGTCATACAATTCGTCCCGTAATATTTAAAACTATTTTATAAAAACTTAAAAACCATAGCTAAATGGGCAAACAAAAGCCAAAAAATTTAAATATATCAATTAGAAAATTTTGAATTTAATTAGAAAAGATTGCTCCATAATTTTAAACCTTAATGATCCATGTAATTAACACTAACCTATTATTGTAAATTATGGCCACTTTAATTTCATTCGAAGTAAAACATCCGAAACTTTTTTGAACAGGGGTGGTATTACGTATTTAATGTATTTATGAAGATTTGATATTTGAATTTATTTGAGAACATTACTTATTTTTAGCAATTTCAGAAAAAGACATGGGTTAAAGCTTGAACTGATCCGATAATTAAGGTCTGAATTAATAGTTTTACACCGGCCTTGTTATTTTATTTGTATTTTCTAATTATTTTATCACTATTCAAACCTTAATGATCCATGTAATTAACACTAACCTATTATTGTTATATAATCACAAATATTAAAAATAATATGTTTAGAACTGCCATGAAAAAAAAATTAAGTATGCAACTTTCATTAGTTCACATAATGAAAAAATAAACACATAGAGTATTAGAACCCAATAACAAAGAATCATGTCTACCAATTTTGTAAAGACCTACAGAGCCCAAATTGTGTTTATTCAACTCTCTCACATACCCAAAATGGAAAACTTAGAAACGGAAAGTTCAAACTCAATCATCGGTGGTTTAGCAGATGAAGTCACCGTCGTTAACGGTCACAGTAACGGCTCCGTCGATCTGAGCCTTGTTTCTTCAAAGCTACAGTAAAACGCATGGATCTACTCTCCGTGTAGCGTATCAAGGAGTTCTCGGCGTGTATTCTGAAGCTACCATCGGAAAAGCATATCCGAAATCTGAAGATATTCGGTGTGATCAATTCGATGTTGCGTTTCAGGCGGTGGAGCTTTGGATCGCCGATCGTCTTGTTTTGCCAATCGAAACCTAAAGAATTATGATCTCCTCCTCGTCACCATCTTCACATCGTCGGCGAGGTTTAGATCCTGGTTCACCACTGTCTCCTAGCTCTTCCCGGAGTCCGTACAGATTGCATCACGTCTGCGATTTCTCATTTTCTGTAAAACTGGTGAGTTTTTATTAGACTAATGAAAGGTATTTATAATGTTTTGAGAATACTATAGGGTTTTGGGTGAGTGAGCTCCTAAAATCTTGCTGATCAAGTAACAATATCTTCAAAATCTTTTATTTTTGGAATTGAGTAATTTTCTTGCAAATCTCGAAAAAAAAAAGAAATATAGGAAAGATAATTATGAGTAATTAGTTGGGATGACAGCCAATGGTAGAGATTTTAGAAGGAAAGCGAGAGATTTTTGGCAACAATTTTTGAACGTAATATCTTTGATTTAGGAGAGATTTTTGGAATATGCTTATACCGAAATATATGTGTAATTATCTACATTAATGACGATTTTTTTTAAATTTCCTTAAATGTCTTATCCAAGATCCAGATATAGTAAAACCGAGTAAAACCCGGATCCAAATTATTAAAAGCAAAAACCCCCTGCAAAAATATATATATATATAGATTGTTATTTTGATTTTAAATTTATTGCAATTTAAATGGGCAATTACCTATATTTAATCTGTTATTGTAAAAGAAAAATGACATAGCTTATTATTAGAATATTAAACAAATTTATTAACATAATATATATATATACTGTTAAAAAAATAAATACGTTATATTGTTAAAATCTGGACATTTATTATGAGCATAAATATGAAAACGATTTTCCATTAAAATCGGCTATTTATTAGGGTCATTAATATGAAAGATATTAAGACAACAT